ACTCTGTCTGTCTGTGTGTTACGTTTTCACGCCTAAACCGCTAAACCGATTTTGATGAAACTTGGTACAGAGTTAGTCTAGAACCTGAGAAAGGACATAGGCTACTTTTTAATTCTAAAAAAGGGCTTTTAGACCAAATTCGTAAAGATAAAGGAGTTGCTGTTGCTGTAGCCTCCTCTAGAATAGCTCCTACGTTACTCAATGGTGGCCGAACGGCACATTCAATACTTAAACTGCCATTGAACTTAGCTCATGAGGAAATGCCAGTTTGTAACATTACTAAAAACAGTGACCGTGGACGAATGTTACAGCAATTTAAGCTATTGGTTTGGGATGAATGCACGATGTCCCACAAAAGAGCGATAGAAGCACTAGATCGGACCATAAAGTATATATCATAAGTATCATGGGTGGTATGGTGGTACTTTTAGCTGGCGATTTTAGACAGACTCTGTCGGTAATTACTAGGGGCACGCCGGCAGATAAAATAAATGCATGTTTAAAAGCATCTCCATTATGGGTGCATGTAATTTTTTTTTGTCTAACTACAAATATGCGAGTACAACTGCGCAGTAATGCTCAATTGGGGCAATATGCGGCTTCTCAAAATCGGAGAAGATCGTATGGAAACAAATAGTGCCGGTATGATTACATTAAAACGTGAATTTTTTTAATGTTGTCTGTATCATAGATGACTTAAAGAACAACGTCTATCCAGATCTTCCAACCAATATGAGGAACAGAGAATGGCTGTGTGAAAGTGCAATTTTAGCACCGACAAACGAAATAGTGGGGCAGATCAACGAACAAATCATGTCAGATGTGGAAGGTGATTTCGTTGAGTTTCTGTCCGTAGACAATGTCATGGACACTGAGCAAGTGACATCGTTCCCTGTAGAGTTTCTTAACTCCTTAGAATTATCGGGGGTGCCTTCCCATAAGTTGAGGCTAGGAGTAGGCTAAAAGTAGGTGTCCCGGTCCTGTTCATGCGAAATCTTGACGCACCAAAAATGTGTAATGGCACAGGGCTTCAAATTACACACCTGGGACGCAATATTGTGAGAGCAATAATTATGACAGGAACAGCAAAGGGGGAAGAAGTATTAATTCCCCGTATTCCAATAATCCCTACCGATTTGCCATTCCAATTTAAAAGAGTACAGTTTTCCCTGAAAGCAGCATTCGCTATGACGATCAACAAAGCTCAAGGACAGACACTCAAAGTAGCTGGTGGTCATTTGGAAAAAAACTGTTTTTCCCATGGGCAACTGTATGTGGCGTGCTCACGAGTATCGAGTCCACAAAACCTACATGTTTTGACCAAAGAAGGAAAAACAAAAAATGTTGTATACAAAAACGTATTAAACTAAGTACTACCTACCTTATAAGTTGCCCCATGGTTTTACCCGCAAAAGTCAGGGATCGGGGTCTACCTAAAGTCTACCTATGTTACTCCTAATGATTCAATGTATCCTTATACCAGCTTCATTAAAATCGGTCCAGTATACTTTCAGAGCCTATTCATTACAAACAAATTTACCCGAAGTAGTAGTTCTACGCAGGCGAAGTCGCGGGTAACAGCTAGTAACGTATATACTCCAACCTACATTATCACTCCGTTTATTGATGAACAAACTGTATTGTGTTGAGTACTTTGAGAGATTATCGCGTTAAGCCTGACGCTGGCGCCGGCGCCAGCGAGTAATTTGTTTGATAGTAAATAATAATAGTGATAATAAATTACATTGCGTTTATAATAAAATAATTAATTTTCATTAATATACTCGTAATTTGGACTGGACGGTTTTGACCAAAGCTTAAAGGAAGCTAGACTTGTATCTGTATATTTGGATGGACCCGAGCGTAAAGAGTCAGACACGTCTGTCTAAAATCCAACACCTGGCAACCCTATACAGAACACAATCTTAAAAATCCATACATTTGAAGAAGTTCTTACTTCCCATCCAATAAATTGTCTGCACAGAAGCAAACAAATATAATTGTTTACGAGAAAACGTTAGAACAAACTTCGTTTCGACGAAACCTCGCCTGCAACCCGCTTAAGAGAACGGCTACATTCCAAGAACTAACCCCCTTTCCTCCCCATTAAGGCTACGGCCACACTAGAGAAAAAGATTGTAGCTAATTATTTACAGCTATGTTTTATTAAATCATAAATATACCTAGATATAAATTTACAAATAAATAGAATTGAAGCGTCTGTTTTTAAAAATCATAAAAGTATCTGTTTATGCTTCAAATTTTCTGGAATGGATGGAATGATTTGCACTTGACGTATCGACTAAAGCAGTAAAAAATAAAACATAATTTGGAGAAATCATCATCATCAATCATCATCAACAGCCTTTAACAGTCCACAGCGGGACATATGCCTCTCCTTAGAAAGGAGGTTTTTCTTTGCAGTGTTGTTGTCCGCTCTTACGACACCCACGGGATGAAGGGGGGTGGTGACAATCCGTATTCTTAATCCGTCACCACACGGACGGAGGAACGAACGGAGCACGGAGAAACCATGAGCCTTAAACTATTCCATAGTAATATGACTTTGTATTTATTAGTATGTATGTACATAATCTTAATGCAATCTTTAAATGTATCAATTAAAATAAAATTACTTACAAATAAATCATTACGAATACGTACTTGGACTTTAAGTCCATACAGATTATGCCGCAAGGTTACTCTCTGCACAGTGCAAATCTACCCTAAAGTGGCGGGTGGTGTCTCGTATCTAAGGGAGCATTTCCAGTAATAGAGTCAGTGAGTGGTTCCAAGAAATGAATGGCATTCAGTCTAGTGTCGCCGTACAATGGCTTCTGAGAAATGAGAGGAAAACTGACGAACTTTCAGAACATTTGTTTTGAAACAATTTTGCTTGATCTTGAATGAAATCTTGGAAATCGTTAACTTTACGGGGTCACGCGATACACAACCCTAGTGTTGTAATCACAAAACAGAGTATTCTTTGTTTGTAAACGGCACACTTACTGTAACTTGGGGTGCTTCTGACCTTAAAGATGTCATCATCAACAGTCTTTAACAGTCCAATGCTGAACATAGGCCTCTCCTTAGAAAGGAGGTATTGGCCTACTATACCACGCTGGCCAGACGGAATGGTGTATGATGTGTTTCAACTTTTCTTTCTGTTTCGATTCCCACTCAGAACAAATATTGTGGGATGAGTGCGATCATTTGTTCTGTGTCTGGGTGTAATTTATCTATATTATGTATGTATTTAGAAATATATAAGTATGTTGATAAGCAGTCTGGTTACCGTAGCTCTGCCTTATTTGGGATCAGACTACCGTGTGTGAGATGTGTGAGGTTTTTTTTATTATTATTTAAATTGACAAAATTCTCAGCATGTTGTAACAGGTAAAGCTTCTTTATTACTGTCTGAATTAAATCTTGGTCCCTACTAACTAGTGAATGTGGAAATGCGGTACAACAGGAGTAACTGGTACGGTACTGGTGGGTGTGCACCCTTAGCAAAACAGGACGAACAGGGTGGCGTGCGTGACGTGTTCACACGCCCCTTTCTAGGGCAGGAAAGGTCGAAGCCCTCAGCACGCAACGGTGTAGCTACCTAATGTTTATTTGAGTGATTTATATCTCAGAGACTGCCTTCCCAATGCATATTTACCCCAGTCATCAGTCAGACGGATCATCGCACGAATGTGATCAAGGGTTTTAGAATACCATGATCCCCGGTGAAGAGCGTGTTTCCACACAATAAAAAGGCCAAGGCAAAGTAAACTGACTAACGAAAAACTTTAACCTGGTTACCATGAATTAGGTTTATTATAGTCCTGTTAAAAACCTACGATAATGACTACATTTACTACGTTCTTAGTATTCCAAACAAACGTTATCAAACAGAAAAGATCAATAAACCAAATTGCCTAAAGTCATAATTATCTGAGGTTTGGCAAATTATCGAGTTTACACTTCAGTCCTAACGAAAACGTGTGCTAGTGCTAACTGTGTTAGGAACGAATACTACACATCCTTTGTTTGAATACGGCGAAACAATGATTCGAACATTCTTTTTTATCTAGAATTGTTACAATTAAGCAAAGTTTACAGTATAAAGATTAAATTTACAATCATTACAAAATGAAAATACAGCTCGTTTCCAAGTATCCGTCCAAAAATCGTTCGCATAATCGCTGAGCGGTAACATAAGTGTTCCCAGAAGCCTGGCATAGTTACCCTTCTGACTATCTGCCAACCATCTGTGCAATAGAATGGCACGCCCTCTGGTCACGAGAACCGAGCACTGTCGAAAAGAGTTGAACCCTCAGATCATACAAACAAGGTTGTTTGTATGATCTGAGGTCGCACCCCTCAAAGTCATAATGACCGATTAAGTTTTACGACCTTTGAAGCTTTCGGTAGTGACAATAGCTCGGTCTCGACGCACACACGACTGCCACAGAAGTAGTAGGTTCGAATACCGCTCAATGCAAAAAAGACGTACTCCTACATATATACATACATATAACTCGTAACAGGCTGTTAAATGTTACTTACGAAAATGATGTATTTAATAACAGGATGCGTAAATGTCACGTAAATAACAATAACCGTAGATTAAATGCATATTATTACTACTTTTCAATCAGCATCGAATAATTTGAAATCATCACATAGAAACATTTATTTTCAAAGTTTAAATTAACATTACAACAATTCCACTTTCGACAATTCCAAAGCTTATAAAATCTTAAAAATTAATTGTTTTATTTCTTTTTTCTATAATGTTATAATAATATGAAATCTTTTTCACTAGCGCCATCTGTTACTCAATAGTAACAATAATTACCTTGACAGCCTGTCTATCTCTATAAGCTTCTATTGGCCAATAGATGGCAGTGTAAGTATCACATCACAAAATTCACTAAAAATAAAACAGATGGCAGTAGCTGCATACATTTAATGAAGATTTAATTTTAAATACCATTTATTTACCTTTTTAGGTATATCCTGGATAATGAAAACATCGTAAATAATCGTCAAGTCTTAGATATCGGTTGCGGTTGTGGAGCTGGTTCTATTGCCGCTGCCAAAAAGAACGCTCAACGCGTGGTGGCAAATGATATTGATACTTGTAAGTGTTGGTTTCTTTAGCTGTGTTCAATTTGGGGGTTTCTTTGTGTACTTATTTTATTTATACTGGTTTTTAAATGCAAAGAACACAGGAAATTATTATTAGTATTTCTCAGTTACTTTGTATCCCTCAGTTTTTTAATTTGGTTGCTAAAAAACACTCATAACTGTACAGATTAATAAAGATAAGAAAGTAGTATTAAAATAAATAAAAATAGTAAGTTATTTAAAAATATAATTCAGATCAAAAAGCTTGGAGATGCCGGGGATCGAACCCGGGGCCTTTCACATGCAAAGCGAACGCTCTACCACTGAGCTACATCCCCGCTTAAAATACAATTTAAAATAGACGTTTAATTGCAGATGCTATAAATGCCACGCAAATAAATGCCGAACTTAACAATACCACTGTGGAAATAAGTGCAGAAAACATGATTGGTGATGATTGTCAAAGCTTCGAAACAATATTAATTGGTGATATGTTCTACGATGAAGAGTTCGCGAACCGTTTGTTTGAATGGCTGCATACACTACGTCGAAATGGAAAAACTGTAAGTTTCTTAAGATTTTTGTCGTTTGTTTGATTCATCTACCTATATAATAAAAAAATAATGTATGTATGTTTGTCCTCAATGTGTTTTAAATGATTCATCAGATTCTGATAAAACTTTGGTTTGTTTGAAATACTTTTCATATTTCGTTATTTCTTTATAATTTACATGTAAAGCATGCCGGGTACAGCTTGTATTTAATACCTATATATAATTATTTTACTTTTTATGATTCGAAAACAATAATAATGTGTACTTACATACCAGTTAAATTATGACTAAATAGGCAATTCAAATCCATCGCCTTAATTCTTTAATATCACCATATTTTTATTTACTTCACTTCCTTAATTACATCTTCCAGGTACTGATAGGCGACCCTGGCAGGCACGGGCTGACTGAGAAGCGTCGAAGCCACATGACACTTCTAGCAAAATACAAACTGCCAGAGGAAACTGCCGTACAGAACAATGGCTTCACACACACCACTGTTTGGCAATTAAAGTAGTTATAAAATAATTAAATACTACCTCGTCATGATTTTTATTATTCTTTCAATTCGCTGTATATTCTCTATACATCCTATAGAAACACGTCTGGCCAGGTGACGTAAGAGCTGACTAAGGGAGCAAACTACGCAGGACAATAACACTGCAAAGAGAAGGAAAACTTAAAACAAAATCTACACTAATCCGTCTGGCCATCGTGGTTTAGTAGGTCAAAACCTCCTTTCTAAGGAGAGGCCTATGTCCAGCAGTGGACTATTAAAGACTGTTGATGAGGACTAGAGGGCTTTAGTCAGCAATAACGAGTAGAATTTTTATACATAGGAACTCACAGATGGAATTATTTCCATCTGTGAGTTCCTATGTATAAAAATTGCTACTTTTAAATCATTATCATATGATAAAATGACATGTTTTAGGTACTCCGATTTCCGGGCACGCCGTCATTGCGGCGGTAAGACCCGTTATGGAGGATTGGCTCGAGAGGCGTCACGGGACCCTCTCATACCGATTGACGCAGGTGATCACTGGGAAGGGATGTTTCGGAGATCACCTGTGTCTGATCCGCAAGGAGCCAACGCCTGAGTGCCACCACTGCGATGGCCAGACCGTGGACACGGCTCTCCACACGCTGGCAGAGTGCCCGGCGTGGGTTGAGCAGAGGCGAGACCTCGTGGCGGCCATTCGGAGTGGGAGTTCTCTCGCTCGATAGCCTGATTGCGGCTATCGTGCGGAGGCGAGAGTGCGTGGAACTCTGCCGTCTCCTTCTGCGAGCAAGTTATGCTCGCGAAGGAGACGGCGGAGCGGGACCGGGAGAGGTTTAGAACTCTCCCGGCCCGCCAGGCCCGGGCACGGGCCAGGCAGCGCAGGCGACTCAGGCGCCGGAGGTCGCAGAACGACCTCCGTCCTCCATAAGCGCAGGCCTGGGGGTGACAGGTGAGGCCATCTGTCACCCTAGCAGAAGCAGGCCGGGGTGGCGGCGAGCGCGTTGCGAAGCGCGCTCGCTTTCAGGGAGCACAGGGAACATGGGGTTCCCACACGGGGCGGGGGTCGTCTACTCGTCTGTAGATGACCCGAGGTATGTCGGGGCACCAGGGCCTTCCTTTCTAGGGTATACCTGGTTCCCCGGCTATTAGTACCCGGCGAAGGCGTGCGGTTTTAGTCGGTTCGTGTCCGACATGCCACCGACAGGTGGTATCCGAGGGGATTTCCGCACGGGAAAAAAAAAAAAAAAAAAAAAAAAAAAAAAAAAAAAAAAAAAAAGGTACTCCGATTTCAACTGTGATAATTATAAGACGCAATGGTTTTGTAGATTGATCACAGGTGTGATGCATGATTTACATTATGTGATTTATCACAGGTGTGTGTGATTTTTACGGTATAAAGGGGCGAACGAGCACACGGGTCACCTGCTGGTAAGCAACTACCGCCGCCCATGGACACCTGCAACTCAAAAGCCACAAGTGCGTTGCCGCCCTTAGAGTCCTTCCCGCTCGAGTCAGCGGGAGGGGATTTGGGCGCCGGTAACCTCACTCACTCATTGAAAGGCAACGAAAGAATTGCTTAATTCCGGTTTTCTGTGAGGCCGTGGTATCACTCCGGTCGAGCCGGCCCACTCGTGCCCGTGATTGTGTTTTATTCCATCCTTAGTACCTACTACATAGCAGTTTGCGTTACTTTTTACGGAGTGAGTGAGGTTATCGGAGTTCAAACCGATGACTGGGGCAGGGACTGAAAGGGGGCAACGCATTTCTGTCTCTTGATTTGCAGTTGTTCATGGGCTGCGATAGTCACTTACCATCAGGTGATCCATCCGCTCGTTTGCTCCCGCACAGTTTAAAAAATATATACTCACGACAGAGTCCCTGCGGGGGGTAGTTAAAGGTATACAACAAATACACTACTAACTGACTGCACGAATGGCGTAGTGGTTTAAGCGGTCACCTCGCCGCTTCCAACTGCACTAATTGTTGTGGTTCGATCCCACCATGGGATAACACTTTGTGTGTTGTTATGGGATAACACATGCACAAATTGTTGTTCTGAGTCTGGGTGTTCTTTGTGTCCGTTTCATAAATGTTTGTAAAGACCCGCGCTACACAGGATATTGTCCTAGTGCGGGGGTTTAAAAATAAAATTATACATTCGTACTTATTCACGCCAGTATCTCTGCAGGGGTAGGTAGAGGTATATAAAGCAACAAATAGACTACTAAAGTACTAATGAAAGCAAAATTGGAGTATATTGAACAATAGTTAGCAAGATTTCGACAATTTCATCAGATATGGAATAAACAGTTTATTTTACATCTACTCGATCGTCACGGTGACGGCGTTCGACGCTTCGATTGGCCCGCACTGAAATCTCCACCAATCGCAACGCTAAACACGCTCGCCGTCAAGAGCGATTCGATGGGAAAGAAACTTGGCCACCAGATCTTTATGCTCTACAAATATCTCAATCAATTTTAATCGACAGGTTTTATTTGTCATTTTATCTTGGTGTTATATTACTTTAATACAACAAAATGGCGGTCGCAAAATACAAAATGACGGTATGCCTATACATACCTATAAAAATGAGTTGCTCTAACTGACTGACTAATTCATCAACGCAAAACCTTTTTTTTATTTGCGGAAATCCTCTCGGATACCACCCACTGGTGGTTATGTCGGACTCGAACCGACTCAGGGGAATCAGGTGTCTAGGTGTACCCTAGGAAGGAAATCCCTGATACCCCGACGTACGCAAAGCCTAAACTGCGCTGGGGCTATAGACTTGGAATGTTGGCAGCTCTTGATTTTATGTTGTAAGCACCCATTAAAAAAGGTTTTTTTTTTATTTCACCCCTAGGGGGGTAAAATAGGGAATAAATGAGCACGCGAGCGATACAGCATACAAAGTCGACATCAGTCTAAAGATACTTTAAAAGCAAAAGAAGTCCTTTAATTTGTTTTCACCAGGCAAGTTTATACAACTCAATTGGTAATAAAATGTAAAAAAATAACTACATCATAAAAATGAATTCGGTCAAATACATATATTTGAGTAACAAAGTTGATCTGCGCACCTGCGCAGTACGCTCGGCTGTTGCCTAGTTACCTCTACAGGTACCCTAGATCTAGACATAGCCTTTAATGTCGGCACTTAATCAATATTTCGGACGTGTGGTGCGTTCTGAAATCTGTTACAATCATTTCATTTTACATATTCTATTACTACTTTTAATACTTGAAAGCTTTTAAATACAAAAGAGTTGTATATTCTAATGTTTTTTAAGAAAGATTTGTTACTATATACATAAAAAAATATAAGACGAAATTTGCTTTCAAGTCAGGCAAATTGAAGATAGGTTTTCGAACATCAATTCTAGATTTGTTTCGCGATAAATACGGCAATCGTGTCCCGCTTCTCGACGTATAAATATTGTTGTGCTAGAAAAATAAGTGATCTTGTTGAAATGGGTAAGTAATGGATATATTTTTTTTTAGTTTTTGTGAAATAACGTAATAGTATGTAGTAGATACTTGATTTGTGGTAGCTAAATGTATTACTATTTTTCTTCTACATTGTATTGTACGTTACATAATCTTTTTTAAAGTTAAAAGGTTTTGTGAAACACTCTATAAATAAATCACTAGTATAATAAATGACCAAGTATGTAATCAAGTATACCCTTGGTGTTATATTAATAAATTACAACAAAATGGCGGGCGTAAAATACAAAATGGCGGTATAGGTAACCACACGAGTACGTATATCAACGCAGAGCCTAAACCGCGCTGGGCCATAGACTTGAAATTTTGGCAGCTGATGCTTTTATGTTGTAAGCAGGATTACCAAAGGACCATTAACTAAGGGTTTTTAGAAACCCAGCCCAGGGGAGTCATGACTGCACCAGGGACTTCCTTTCTAGGGTATACCTGGTTCCCGGCTATTAGTACCCGAGACGTCGTGCGGTTTTAGTCGGTTCGGGTCCGACATGCCACCGACAGGTGGTATCCGAGGGGATTTCCGCACGGGAAAAAAAAAAAAAAAAGGGAGTCATGACCCCCTTGACCGGGGAGGTCCTGCGGTAATGACCCCCATGGTCGAAAAAAATCTGTGGGTGATGGACGTGATGGTCCTGGGGGGTCATGACCTCATGTACCGGTCGTCCTGGGTTTATGAACCCCGTATCCGGGGAAGTTCTAGCTCACGAACCTCATGGCTGGGGATTCCCTGGTATCATTAACCCCGAGGCCGTGGACGACCTTTGATCGTGACCGAGGAGGTCTTGACACCGTTACCCTCAATGACTTGACTTCATTGTCTAGAAGTACTAGGGGCCTTAACCATTCATTGAGCGATCTCAACCAATCTTTGGAGTCCTGATCCCCGTTTGCCTAAAAGTTCTGGGGTCTTGACCACATCGCTGAGGGGATTTGACCTCCATTGCCTAGGGATCATGACATCCGTGGCCGTGGACTATCTCTGGTCATGACCCCGTGACCGAAGTAGTCTTGGAACCATAAACGCCTATGCCAAGAAGTACCTGGGGTCTTAACCCCATCGCTGAGGGGCCTTGACCCCATTTGCGAGGGATCCTGACTTTCATTGCCTAGAGGTTCCTGTGATTTTAACCTCATTGCCGAGTGGTTTTGACCTCCATTGCCTAGGGGTCATGACTCCCATTGCCGAAAAGGTACAGGAAACGACTTCTCATGTTTTTCTTCGACATTATTTGGTAAATTTATATTTTTCTTTCTCAGAGTCGGTTGATACCGCCTCACCTGACTCGCCAGTAAGAGAATCAGAGCCGACGGATTGGCTGGCAGACTTTCAATATTATGACGAGGGTAAGTATAACGGGTGTGCTGAAAGTAATAACAAAAAATGAACTAACAGATAACATGGTTCAATATACGTCGGTTAAAATGAAAAAAAAAATGTACCAAAATGCAGAAATGCAAATTTAGAACGAAATAACAGATAACAAGGTTCAATATACGTTGGTTAAAATGAAAAAAAAAATTTTACTAAAATACAGAAATGCAAAATTAGAACTAAGTAATTGCCGAATTAGAACACCATTGTTAACATGAGTCGCTGAACTGTAGACGAAAGCATCGCAATGTCGGCGACGTCAAAGCGACGCCGCCGCCCAGCGACGAGCCGGCTAACTTCACATTCTTATTACCTACCTACTAATCACTTCACTTGCTTTCCAAAAATACGATTTTATTCACGTGTTTATTTCGGGAATGCTCGACTAGCTTCGGACCCGGCAGTACGAGTCACTCCTAGAAAAAGCAGGTACTTTGGTTGTCTCGTAATCTTACAAAGATTACCGCCCTTACAAAAATTCGGCAGGCCTGTTGGACATTCACGATTGATTCCATACCTCGGTTTGTCCGTAAAGCTATATTCTGCGGCTGTGAATGTCACTCCAATAACCCAAAAAAATTAAAAGACTGATAATGCACTCAGTTTTACACACACTAATATTCTCACTTTTCAAAATAAATTTAGCGGGACTCGTCACTACACGAAATCTTGCCCACAAGATAACATTAATTGTTCACACCATTGCTGCGAACGCAATAAGACTAAACAATACTTAACACAACAAAACTTTTATAAACACATATTTCACGAACAACAACAATATTATTATTACCATAATTTGTCGTGAGCGCATCTACAAGGACACAGAACAGCATAACACTCAACGATTCTCTTGGCTTGTGGCGAACTCGAACTTGGCTGAGTGGCGACTGGCCGACTGACTGTACTCACTGAATGAACTTCATCCTCATGACACAATAATCAACATATTTCGTTTGATTCGAGTGTAGTAAAAGCGGCAACGTATGATGTTAAATCCCCTCGGATACCACCTGTCGGTGGCATGTCGGACACAAACCGACTAAAACCGCACGCCCGTGACGCCTCTCGAGCCAATCCTCCATAACGGGTCTTACCGCCGCGATGACGGCGTGCCCGGCGCTCGGTTGCCCGAGTCGTTCCCTCCACTCCCCTATGATGACCTGGCGGAGTTGGGATTTCCGATCATCGATTTCTCGAATCTCGGGACACCGACCCAACTCCCGCGCCTCCTTGCGCCACTGATACAGAGCCGCAAGTGCTCTCGCCTTTACACATGATGTTACAAATTACGAAAACAAAAAAATTGTCCTGTTTCTAAACCACTGAATATTTTTGACGTGACAACGTCTTATAATTCGATGGAGCCGGCTGCACGCACGAAAAAACATGACTCATGCGGCGTTACCTCGCTCTGAGGCGTTCCATTTAAGGCGTGAAGTGCAAGCGAGAGCGCGGAACGAACGACAAAGAGGCACAATCGGCCTCCGCGTTCGGCAGCGTTCAATATCTGTCTCTCTCCTACTTGAGTGAGCGATGCGTCCGCATGGACAGCTGCTACTCGTATACAATAATACATTTTTGAAAAATGCAACCATTCCATCAGTATTTTCTTATGACGTTGTCACGTTCAAGTATCGTCAGTAAACCGACTTTACAGACAACCGATTTTTTGTTCATATTTTGTAAATCGTCTAGAAATAGAGTGCAGAATATATGGGTTAAAGGTTTGCCAAAAGGAAAAAACACAGTGTATTCGTGTGGTGGTGTTGACATGGAAATTATTGCTACTTTTAAATCATATACATTTTTTGTGCTCCTAGTCAGTATTGTTTGAAGTCGGTTAAACTTTTTTTAAAGTATTTATCTAAGTAAAAAGTAGCGGGGCAAACATATATATGTATTGATTGCGTTTTTTTTTTGGGTTTCTAATTTGTTACGATTTTTTCAGACCCGTTTGGTAGTACATCATCTGTCTTTCCAATGCGAGAAGTAAAGCCAGCTAAGCCGCACAAGGAGTCTGATATTGATGACGACGGCGGTAAGTAAATCAAGGACAACATTTTTTTTGAAACACAGTTTTTTTTGTATATATGGGGTCTATCAATAAGAACGTCCTGGTTTAAAAATTGAATAAAACACGATTGATTTATTTGATAGATAATTTTATGCAATTTATGTTTTAAATAATATATCGGCCAAATGACCGTCGCGGGTCTTTTTGCAGACGGTCACCAGCTCACGCCAATTTTCGATGACGCGGTGCACCATTTCGGCCGGTATGTAGGCTATGGCTCGTCGAATGTTGGTTTTTTAGTCACGAATTGTAGCTGGATTATTGCTGTACACTTTAGATTTAACGTAACCCCAAAGAAAATAGTCTAAAGGTGTTAAATCACTCGATCTTGGTGGCCAACTGATCGGTCCATTTTTCGAAATTAACGACTCACCAAACATTCCACGCAATAATTCCATGTTCACTCGAGTAATGTGAGGTGGTGCACGTCTTGTTGAAAATGAATTCCGGAGAGAAATTTTCGGTTAACATCGAGTTATAGCGCTCGCCATTCACAGTAACAGGGTTTCCTTCGTCACTTTCAAAGAAGTTCCAAGCGTTGGTTTAAAGTGAAACGTGACATGATAAAAGGGCAAACCTTACTGAACACAAATGTCAAGAGACGTCAAAGATCCATCATCAAACATGGCCGCTATGAGTTGTCAAAACCAGGTCATCCCTATTGGTAGACCCTATATATACTCGTACCTATATACATACCTTAAGTCGTCAGCTCTTTTTAAGCCATTCTTGAAAAGTTATGGGTGTTTAACATTTATGTCCTACTGACCTTTAAAAGTGCACTGTAATTAATCCTACTCAATAAAAATATTTGAGTTCAAGATTATTTTTCAGAGTCGGTTGCTACTTCTGCACCTAACTCTCCAGGAGGAGAAACAAAGCCGGCTGAGCAAGAAGAGTCTGAATATGAGGACGACGGTAAGGAAATCAAAGAAAAAAAAACGATCAAATTACAATTCAACTAATAAAAAAATTAAAATAATTAGGCGTAACTCACTCCTGTCTACCCTAGGGTTGTACGAGTATTAAATATACGATTTACGAGCTAATTTTCACTTAATAATTGTAGCGTGTGAGTCGCAATTTATTTAAGAGTCTTCACTGCTTTTATGCATTTCTTATGAATAAATAGACTAGGTATGAATAAATAGTTTTTTTCTTGTTAGGTAAATTGTTGTTTTTTTTTCAGAGTCGGTTGTTACTTCTGCACCCAACTCTCCAATAGCAGAGTCAATACCGCCTCAGCAAGAAGAGTATGACTACGATGACGACGGTAAGTAATTTGAAGAAAAAATGTGACTGATGTGAAAACTACTGTTTACCTAGTTTCAAGAATGATATGTTTCAGAACAAGGCGTGACTCAGTTCTTAGGATACTTTCGAATTACGCGTTAATTTGCACTTAATCATGTAGGCGTAAGAGTCTCTATTTGTTTGTATCTAAGTATTTTCAGTGCTGTCTATATGATATTTTACATTTAAGAGCTAAATATGTCGAATATCCTGTAACTATCCGGTGTTCGGCCAATCTAACTCAAATTTATTATTTTTTATTATTACGAATCATCAGCTCTTTCTAAGCAGCTCTTGAGTAAAGTAAAGTAGTGTAAGAATACGGATCTATTGTGTTTTCTTTTTATCAGGAAGAAAACTCTTTTCAGTGTCAAATCATTCTCCTGCACGAAACGCTCCATTAACAATATTAAGGCCAGTTGAAAATCCAGAAGACAGTGATTATTACGATGACGGTAAGTAAATAAAAACTAAAAAAATCAACAAACAAACAACAGTTCCCTTAATTTTATAAAGAAAATTATGCATTATAATTAGCCTATCCATGCGGTTATTTAAAATAGAACGTTTATTTTGACTTAGAGCCTAATTTACAATTTATCATGGAAGCGTGTATCTATACGATAGTACAACAGATAAGAGCTGAAACGAATATCTTGTAACGATCCGGCGTTTGGCCTATTCGGTCTAAGATTACAATCCAACTCGATTCAAAAAATTCACAATTCCAGTAATTCTACTCTATTTATCTAATGTCTTTGTCAAACTCTTTCACTTTCATCAGGCCCTCGTAGTCCATCTTTAATTTTGGGACTAGTATTACTGCTTTCGGCCACATATCCGGTTATCCGGCTAACGAGATATTCTTTTTAGAAGAGTCTCTCTGAAGCGCGAGACATTTGAACTTATTCCTTATTAATATGATAGTAATAAAAAATAATAGTACATATGATATTTATAAAATGTTTTAGAGTGTTTGTGTGAGTTAAAACAATTACATAACGGTATGTTAGCTTTCTATTGTTCTTGTCTAATGTTACTGTGGCAAAACGTAAGTAAATTTAAGTTTTGGAAGTTTTCATAAAATAGTTATCGCTAAAAATATTCCTAATTTTTACCCTTAGGGGTGAAATATGTCCTTGAAAATTGAATGAAAAAAAATACTATTTCAAGTAGTATCTGCCAGGTCAAAAATGAAGGAGTTTTAAGATAATAAACACATAAAAAACATATGAGTAGCCAATTTGGAACCTCCTTCTTTAATAGTTCGTTAAAAATATACCTATACCTGTGCAAAATAAAACTTTACCTATTATCTATACTAATATTATAAAGCTGAAGAGTTTGTTTGTTTGTTTGAACGCGCTAATCTCAGGAACTGCTGGTCCGATTTGAAAAATTCTATCAGTGTTAGATAGCCCATTTATCGAGGAAGGCTATAGGCTATATATCATCACGCTAAGAGCAATAGGAGCGGAGCACCAATGAAGAATGAATCAAAAACGGAGAAAATTTATTACTATTGAGAGACGCAGACGAAGTTGCGCGGGTCAGCTAGTTTTACTATAAAGCACGAATCATCAGATCTAAGCATTCGTGAATAAAATATAGTAGACATAGTATAGATATGTATATGTGGACATTGAATGTTTTATTTTCTTTTTCGAAATCATTAATGAATATATTTTTCAGACACGACTGATAGTGCTTTACCTGCATCTCCAAGAAGAGAAGCAAGGTTGGCAGAGCAGCAAGCACAGGCTGATCAGGAGAATAGTAAGTAAACATAAATAATATAATATATCTCACACATCTCACACACGGCAGTCTGATCCCAAACTAGTCAGAGCCTGTACTAGGGTAACCAGACTGCTGATAAACATACTTCATCAACAGCCTTTAATAATCCACTGCTGGACATAAGCCTCTCCTTAGAAAGGAGGTTATGACCTACTATACCACGCTGGCCAAACGGGTTGGTATAGGGTTTGTGTCAAGTTTTCCTTCTCTCTGCAGTGCTGTTGTTCTGCGTAGTTTTTTTTTTCCCACGGGATGAATAGGGGTGGTGACACTCTGTATTCTTAATCCGTCACCACACGGACCGGATAAACATACTTATATATCATTAAAACACATACATATTATAGATAAATTACACCCGGACACAGAACAAATGATCGTGCTCATTACACAATATTTGTTCTGGGTGGGAATCGAACCCACAACCTCTGGCTTAGCAGTCAGGGTCACTAACCACTAGACCAACAGGCCCGTCAATAAAATACACTTTTATTTAATTTATTTCACCTTATGTTAATTATGACGGGGGAGGGCTTCATTCGGAACATGACTATGCACTTGTATCTCTTGAGTTGAGGTATCCGTGGGGTCGGGGTAACAGGGATTTCCTTTCTAGGTCCCCGGCTCTTGGTAACCGTGACGGCCCGGCGGCGTGCGGTTTTAGTCGGTTCTGGACCGACATAACTACCCGACCGGCCGTCCGGTCGGGAGTATCCGAGTGTTTGAAAAAAGACGACCTGTGTGCTTGTTTGCGCCCAATTCCATAAAAAGGCACAGTTACTTTTACACTTAGACAAGAATATAAATGTTGTATGTCCTCATTATTTGATTAATTGTATGTACGAGTATGATGTACGAAACTGGTGTGTATGCAATAAAGTTTTTTTCTATTCTATTCTAAATATCGTTCCAGAAGATGCAGATTCCGCTAACCAACCATCCACTTCGGGCAGATCACACCCTACAGCTCCAGCCGATCCGGAGAGGTTGCGTTTATACGGTAAGAATATTTTTTAGAGTGGTTACTAGCCTTAAATTTCACAGCAATCACACTAACATATTATTCTGCAGATCTCTCTAATATATTTTTAAAGTATAGGAACAAAAGGTCGTCACTAAATAGAAAGGATATCTGAAACTTTGTTACTCAATCACACCAGAAGGCCGAAACAAATCGGGATGAAATTAGGTACAGATATAGTCAGGAACAGCATATAGGATATCCCAATTTCAGTATGTTCTACAACGTATAGTACAAACTATGCTCAGCTTTCAGAAAGCGCTGTGTCATCGCTAATATCATCTTTTTCATCATCACCAACATCTGCCTTTTTCCCAATTCTATATAAGGACTCTGTAATGTGTAACATTGCCAAGGATTTTGCCTGATTTCTTTTATGGTCGGTCGTCTGTCTGACGTCAATCTTCTTGGGAACTTTATGGGACTAATCTCTCCAACACGTCCACTACTGTAACTCCTGTACCAGGATTAACAGCAGTGACCCACGAATACACGGGAGTAATGACACTCGGGAAGTCCCAGGAAAAGTTATACATGGAACCAGCAAGTAACTAATCAAAAGTAAATTGAAGGATTTGGAATTAAAATAAATCCACGTCTCACCTTAGTTTCTTTCGAATGTAATCATTTTGCTCAAAAAGGTCAAAGGATACAGATGAATTGGGGTAAGGTAAACCAATAGGGCGACAGTCATGGGAAGTGATATCCCAAGTGCCAGATGAAAACTGTAGCTGAAATGCATTGGTTCATAGGCCGGGGTCGCGTATTGTCATCCAGTGATGGGATAGGCTACGCAGACAGGGATGAATTGGTCTTAATATGGTGTATTATGCCCCAATATGCTTAAGATGGTTTGGTTTACAGGTGCAGCAATCTATTCTGCTATAATCGGATCACCTGAGAGACTGAGCGAGTACCAGGAGATACAGTTCGAAGTGACCGGTAAGGCAACTACACTTCCTATTGAACAGTCATCATCATCAGTCATTATAAATGGGAATATGAGTGTGTTGTTATTAGGTTTTTACATTGGGTGATTGTATTATTCGTGATACGGTTATTGTGTTACGTAATACTCGTATTTCTCAATAACGCTCTAGTGGAATTTTAATCAGTCAGTACCTAAAACTTATTTTTCTCACTATGTCATTTGGACAATACAAAGTTATACGTTAATATATTTAGGCAAATGTGCACCTACACTATTATTCACAGAACATATATTAAATACATCAATCAATGTGTATATATATACATTAATATATATGTATACATAAATTCAATTATTTTTGTTATCGATTACAAATTTAACTTTAATATTAATTAGTTTACGATTCAAATTACTCATATAAGTACCAATTTTATTCAACGTAGTTATTAATGGTAATATTAGCAGGTATTGCAAACAAGTTCAAATCTGTACCTCACTGCTTCCTTAGAGAAGTAGCAGAAGTATCATCATAATCATCAGAATATCGCAGTACACTGCTGGACATAGGCCTCTCCCATTGCACGCCACTTAGGTCTATTTTCGGCTTAAAAGAAGTAAATATAATAAGCACTTACTTTTTGGGAACTTTGAACCTGAGGCCGTTTAGAAGACGCTTTAGGAAATAATTATTGGAATATTGAGAAAGGGAAGAACTGAAATATACAGGTAAATTCGAAGACGAGTCGTCCACTTGTAACTTAAATTGGCACACCGTACACGACACGACACTCCGACACTCCGTATTCCGTATGATAGACGGCGTTTCACCGTCCGTCCGTCACCACCCCTATTCATCCCATGGGTGTCGTAACAGCAGGCTAAGGGAGCAAACTACGCAGGACAACAGCACTCCAAAGAGAAGGAAAACTTGATAAAAACCCTATACCAACCCGTTTGGCCAGCGTGGTATAGTAGGCCAAAACCTTTCTAAGGAGAGGCCTTTGTCCAGCAGTAAACTGCTAAAGGCTGTTGATGTGATGATGAACTGGCTGTTGCAGGTAGTAAATACAAGTTTTTTTTTTTCACAGATCGGGAAAGGAGGCAGAGAATCGAGGATATCGTTGATGAGAACAACCCGTGCCGCTGCCCAACTGATACATTTGACTTGTGCTCCCAGGGCAATCCCTACATGGAATCGATTGTCGAGAAACTCAGGAAAATGCCAAAATGTCTGCAATATCGTGCGTATCGAGATATATTGGTATACTTCAAGTACTTGCGTCGCAAACACCGCAAAATGCTGCTGCGTAATGCCCCTATTAATATAGCTGCTTGTTAAATATTAGATGAAGGGATACAAAAGCCCACTGAATGTCATCTTTTTTTCTGTCTGGTAACACCGGATTATTTTGTCTGTTTAAAGAAACTGGAACGGTACTGTCAGATGATAGGCGACGTTTCAAAGTAGCGTAAACATCTATTGCTATCTCACTTTTTTGAGCTTTCACGATAATAGAGACGAACCATGTTCTCTGCTTAAACTTATGAGGTTTAAAATACTGTGTTTTCATATAATAACATTTATTAGATAAAGTGAAATTGACCGGTCATAAAACTGAATAGTACTGCTGACTGCTTTTGCAAATGATTAAAAAAATGCACTTAAAATTGGAACTGAGAATGGCAATGAATTTGTGAATAATACCACTGTCGTCTCTTTCTAACATACATTGGCGCGAAATCGGCATTTCGTCATTAATTAATCATTTGGTATACTAAATTGAATGTGAGCGAATTTTTTTATATATTAATTTAAGATTTTAGATGATTGTATTTCGGGGATGCCCGACTTGTTTCGGACCAGACCGGGGCCATTTTTCAAAGAGTGAAGCGACTTAGCGTGTCACACTGTGACGTCATATTGCATATACATATTTTTAATAAATATGAATTTTAATTCCGATATTTTTAATAACAAAACGTAATACAATATTAAATGAAAATATCAGACGTTCGTTAGACAGTTAATATCTAATCTCTCACTCTAATCACATTTCATGGTTCTCTCTGTCACTTTAAGTTTTGAATGACGTTTAGAACATAACTTTTGACATTTTGAATGTGTAGGTTTGTGTGTAAAAATGTGACAAATGTCTTACATGTATTTTTGTGTGTTTAATAGGATAAATAATATCGTAGGTGAATTCAACACATGAATTGATGTCAGCTGTGTTTTAAAGTACTACAGAATATATTCAATATTAATGTGCAGTAATATTCTCATACGTATTCTATACATTCAATTAATAAAGACTATCAAGACTTCTAAAATGTGCAATATATTTTTTCTATAACTTATTTTTTGTATTGTATACTTTGATAAAACTGTTATTTAGATGTAACTGCGATCCGTCATTTCTTTTCTGTCTGTAATATAGTTACAGCGCCATCTATTATAGATAAATGGAATTACTGTAGCATTAGATCTGTGGTTTCAATGTTCTATAAAAATAAATTTAAATTATTAAGTCTCTTGTATTTTAACGTAAGTTCCTGGCAGGAGCAAGGCAGTGTGAGGTTAGTAAATAAAGCAAGACACTATACAAAACTTATTTAATTATCCAAATTAATAACAAAATATTACATTACGCATTCTACAAGGCACTATTATCATAAGTCGTTGTAATTATCGTTGTATATCAAGGTAGCTAAGTCACAAGAAATAGTCATCTGTTAAAAATGGTTCTTGCACTGTTAACAGGAAATGGGAAAGTAGTTATAGAAATACTTCGAAAATATACATGTATAATTGCAAAATAAGGAATAAAAACGAGTGTGTAGACCACACGACTGAAGTAAAACTTCTTGGCTATGAGAGAAAGAGAGAAAGAAAATGTGTGCTCGAACCTCTCTTGCCCCTACAGTAATATACGAAACGTAACTCTCTCTCTTTCTATCTTCACTAACTTATATACCCCTCTCAACTTTCGTTCGCTTCGCCCGATCACACTTTTAGTAACGCTCTCGTCACGCATTCACCAGCTTACTCCCCAAGTCAAGCGTGCGTAAAGAAGTTTTACTTCGAAAGTGTTTTATATTTTAAAAACGTCCATTCTTGTTCATTTCAAGAAAGGGCATAGACTCAGCAAATTCGAGAGGGGAAGGAAAAATAGATAAGTATGTATTTATCGAATATACGAGTAATATTATACTAGCTGACCCGCTCAGTTTCGTCTCCGTCTCTCAAAAGGAAAAAAAGCAAAGGTTTTTGCAAAATTCTTCATTAATTTTCGGCTTCTATTGCTGATAGCGTGATGTTAAATACCCTATAAACATTCCTTGATAAATTTTGCTATCCAAGCATAGAAGATTTTTCGAATTCGAACTAGTAGTTCCTGATTTTCAACCAAACAAACAAACTCTTTAGTCTTAAATCCTAGTAGAGATTTAATGGCGTGTAATTCGAATTCATTGACGCGCAAAGGACGAATGTATTTGAGTTTAAACATGTGTTACCTGTATTTTTTTTTAAACATACTCGAAAATGTATTCTTAGTTATAATTCAATAAAATCAGGCGATTGAAGATCACAAGTCCTTTCCCATTCGTTGAATTATATAATTCGTTACAGCAGTACAGAGAGTAATTATTCGTTACAGCAGAAAAATACTAAATAAAAGTATTCCTTGCTATGGTTAAGGCATCATAAATAGGATTAAGATTGACTATTTCTTATAATGTGGCTACATAACACGTTTTGAATGTTACATGTTTAGCAATAGGTACGTATTTAGTTTCTCTCTTAAATATAATACAAAATCTTACAATTTAATAAGCATATTATAAAAATCTAGAAGAATATTTACACTATCTTAGTAAGTATTCAGAAATAAAAATACTTTTTTTCAAGTTGTTTCCCAAAATAATTTAAATCGGTGTTATTAATCGGCTACCGCCTAAATTAAACAGAAAACTGCCATCTACTAGCAATTACCTAAACTAACTACACAAAGCCACCTAGTGGCAAACATCTGAACTGTTTAAACGAATAGATGGCATAACCTGTTTTGTTTTCCGAAGCGTCATCTATTAGAAAAAATAAGAACAAAAATAAGTACAAAAAATAAAATATACAATTAAGGTACATATTATAGCTGGTAGTTATGCATGGTATTCGCATAAATCCCATGTTTGGATCTTGCAGTTCTTCCTGAATAATGGGAGTACGTATCCATGTCCATTGCAGCGTGTGGATGCATTATCAGAACTGGTTGGAGGGCCAGCGACTTTCTCGAGCCGGAGACAGATGTCGCGTCGGTCACGTAGCCATTGTTTACTTCACCTGGAAAGAGCACAGATTACAAATGAGAACATCGTATATCTAATCTATAGTAAAGAGGTTGTACTTGCATGTTAAAGTTTTACGCAGTAATCGTACACTCATGCTGCTTGGTATGCAGACTTTGCTAACATTCTGATACCTTGTACCTTACTTGTACAGTAGACATGTTTTTAGTTTTTTCAAATACTTATTTTAATATACTATTTGTGTATTTTTTGGTATTTGTTTGGTTCTAAAAGAATTATACTTATATTTCAGTTATAGGTTAGTCATTACCATCTTCAACAGCATTTAATAGTCCACTGTTGGACATAGGCCTCTCCTTAGAATGGAGGTTTTGGCCTGCTATACCACGATGGCCAGAGGGATTATAGGTTTGGTTTTGTTTTACGTTTTCCTTCTCTTTGCAGTGTTGTTGTCCTTCGTAGTTTGCTCCCTTAGTCGGCTGTTTCGACACACGAATAGGGGTGGTGACACTCCCTATTCTTAGTCCGTCACCACACGGATATAGTTGCGTGATGTTAGGTATTACTAGTCTCTTTAAATTATTTTCTTTTCAGCGTTTAATTCCCAACCTTATTTCGGCCAATATGTAACATTGCAAAAGGTTTTGGTTGGTTTCTTTTATGGCCATCCTTGAACCTTGACAGACCAAGGGAGGAGGTAAAGAAAGGGCACAGAGAGGAAACCTTGGTAAAAGCAAGTCTTGGACGGTAAACAAGGCTGATACTGCAGTAACTCAAAAAAGCTGGATCTTGCGATTGTAGAGGAATATTAAATAATGTAAATTTCTAAGTTTAACATAAATTATTTCGTCTGAATCATTAGGAAATTTAACATCTTAAATAACAGCCGTAAGTTTCAATTTAATGTTTTTACGTTTATAATATTATAAAATCAACGTCAAATATAAATGATTTGACAATAGCTAGGTATGACGTCACGCAATAGTATTTCATACAAAAACGCAAAGCGTCTATGGATTAAAATATAAAAAGGTACTGATTTGACTTAACAAGCAACTACATTGCTTAAAATGATTTTCTTTTCAATTACCACGAAATCCTGCTAAACCTTACCTTAACAGTGACAATGTAACGGTACATAATTTGTCATCAAACGATCAAATTTTTTGTACACTACTTCTTCGATTCAAAACGGCCAATTCTGAAATTTCTTTCTATCTTTGTTATGTCTGAAATCTAATATTTATATATATGTATAACCTATACGTAGATCACTATATAAGTTATGAGATGCTCGAAATTTGAAAATGGAACGCATCAGTGTTATATAATTATTAATAGAAGGAAGAATTATTTAAAAATCGAATACAAAAGGCCATTTAAGGCAAAACAAAAAAAAAACAGAAGCAGACGAAAAAGCGGGAAATGATGACAGTACAATAACAATATACCTACATGTCATAATTACCGCTTTTTCGTCTGCTACAATGGAACTTAAACGTTCATGTTTACATTTACGTGATTTGATAGATTACGAATTTAAATGTGGTTTATCTAAATGTTTAAGCTTATAACGTTTAAAATCAGCTTTAGGTGAGTCTGCTCCTTCTCGAGCAACCATTTTTTGATGGTTTAACGAATTTAAAAGAGGCAAAACTAGCCTTGAAGATGATGACAGAAGTGGAGGCCCGCCAACAGCAGCAGTCACTGCTGAAAATGAGTGCTCTACTGAAATGCTTGAGCGAGATAACCCACGAATTACATACAGGGACATAGAGAAAATCGTAGGCCAGTTCGGTTAGTGTTCACACCATATTACTTGAACATCTTAGAATAAGGAAGCTTTGTTGTCGTTGGATACCTCGTTTGCTCTACGAAACAAAAAAACCTCCTGTGGAATGGTGCCGCGAGATGCGTCTACGTTTTAAATCAGTCCCGTATCTCTGTTCCTTTTTTTTTAAAGACAACTCCCGCACTAGGAATACATCCTGTGTCGCAAGGGACTTTACAAACATACATGAAATGGACACAAAGAACATCCACTCAGAACAATAATTTGTGGATCACACCATGTGGGGCTTTTACCCACAACACTCAGCGTAATGGGATGCGGCGTGGTGATCGCTTAAACCACTACGCCATCCGTGCAGTCATTTTTTAGTACATTACATTTTTAAAAACCTTCTAGGATACTGGGTCGTGTGACTTTCGGGATCGGGGACCGCAGTCCCGAATTTCCCTTTTGATAGTTATTATTTTGAGTAATAAGAAAACAATTTATATCTTGAGAAAGTACCGTCAACCAAAAATTCAAAAAAATATACAAATAAATTTATTTTTATGAAACGAAAGTTTGTACGAGTATTATGAGTCTGAGATTTTGATTGTGATATCTACCATGTATCCTATAAATAATAAGTACGTATATACTGTTAAAAACACAATTAATATATGACGATATTTCATTGTGTGACCGTGGGCAGTACAAGTTTTATTAAAATGTTAAATATGCATATTAAATAAAAAAATATTTTTATTTGTTCGAATATGGAAATTGTTTTATTGCTCGAGGACGACTGGTTGATTGTTTGACTACTAATATATTATACGAATATCTGTGACTTCTAAAAGTACGAATCAATAATTTTTACTAGCAAAATACACATATAGAAAAATACGGCTATCCTCGCATGATTATTTACATTGTGTTTCTCACTATGAAAATGACGAACTGCCATACAACCGTTCATCCCTTATTTCACCCCCTTAGCGGTGAAATTTCCAAAAATCCTTTCTTAGTGGGTACTTACAACATAAAAAGCATTAGTTGACAATATTTCAAGTTTGTAGCTCCAGAAGTTTAGGCTTTACGTTGTTGAATCAGTCAGTTAAGGCAAGTATTTTTTTATGTATTTTAGCGATGGAATAAAATCACAATCCCAAAGGGTTCCAAGACAGTTTAATTTTTTTCCTGGGACTTCCCGAGTGTCATGACTCGATGTGTTTGTAGGTCACTGCTATTGATCCTGGTGTACAGGAGTTACAGTGTTGGGCGTGTGGGAGGAATTAGTCCCATCTAAAAAAGGACAGTAGTATTTATGTAGTAGGTATTTCATGAAGCCGTTCTTTATAAGAAGAAACTCAAGTCGTTTAAAATCCACACGCATGTAGTCATTATACTTGGTATTCCTTAAATGTGTGTCGCACACAACTGGATTCTCATGAATATGCGACAAACGAGCGGTGAGCGACACAGTTACACCGGCACCTCGTAAAGGTATTCTTGGTTCTACATTCTGTTTTGCATGACCGTTGTACACCAGCAATTTGTAAATACTTAATGGCTAGAAAGACGTCGAGTGAGAAGTCCAGGTGAGTAGTTTATTACTATGCCTACATTGTTAAGCATACAAGTTTGTGATGGAAATTTTTGATCATCATCATCATATGATTAAATGAAGTCGCTGCGATTTCACCTGTGATAAATCACTGCTGTGCTTTAGTAATAGACAAAGATACCAAGGACCACAGTGATTAAACTTTTAACAGCTACAGTTTAATGCCATCAAAACTTAAGCAAAGAAAAGAACAAGTAAATTAAATTGCTTTTTAACCGACTTCAAAGAGGAGGAGGTTATCAATTAGGATGTTTATATATATATTTTTTGTAAGTTCGGGCATAACTCCGCATATATTGAGGGATTTGCAAAATTCTTTTTATGTTCGAAAAGGGGTTTATTTTGAAATGGCCCTATTTAAATTTCATATAGATCTGATGATGAGTTCGGAGACAGACAACTTAACCCTTCAATAAATGACAGCAAATCAACCCCGATTGCTGCCAGGCTTTTTAGTGCTCTTTGTTAGTATTGTTTGAAGTCGTTTCAACTTATTTTAAAGGATTTATCATCGTATTATCAAAGACTACGCCCTGTACTTTTTTTTTTAGATTTAGACCTTACGCGAGTCTTGTGCTAGCGTAACCATAATAATCACACAATGTTGTGTTTTAATCATATAATGATGAATGATTGCCATATGATATGATATGATTTATCACAGGAAATTGTGATTTTATTCCATCCCTTATGCAAGTTCCTATATCACATTTTATCGGCTCAACGTGCTATGGAAAGGGCTATGCTCGGCGTTTCTCTAAGGGATCGAATGAGTTGATCCGGCAAAAAACCTAGGTGACCGACATAGCCTACCGGATCAGCAAGCTAAAGTGGTAGCTGGCTGGCTATATTAGCCGCAGAACCGACAACCGTTAGGGAAAATGATTTCTTGAGTGGAGTCCGCTTCTCGGTAATGTAGGACGCCCACAGGCCAAGGTGGAGTGACGATTTGCGCTAGATGGCTGGCAGGAGCTGGATGCGAGAAGTCCAAAATCGATCTAAGTGGCGTGCAATGGGAGAGGCCTATGTCCAGAAGTGGACTGCGATACGCTGATGATGATAATCCGAGGGAGAGCTATGCTTCGATACAAATGGGCCTACTCCACCGGAGTAATACCACGGCCTCACAAAAACCGGTGTTAAGTAGTTTTTCGTTGCTTTTCGTTTATTTTTAAGATCTATCTATACAAATAAATAAAATTGGAGTGTCGTTTTGTAATATTAAAATAACCGCTTTTTACTAAATGTATATGTATGGTTACACGGTACATATGCCAAAATAAAAAATTTACAATTTTTGTCTGTCTGTCTGTCTGTTTGTTCCGGGTAATCTCTGGAACGGCTGGATAGATTTCCACGGGACTTTCATTGGCAGATAGCTGATGACATAAGGAGTAACTTAGGCTACTTTTTTTAGACTAGCTTCGCCCCGCGGCGTTGCCCGGGGTTATAACAACAAACGCGGGTAACACCGCGGGTCTCAGCTAGTTTCAGAATAAATTTCATTACAATAAGTTGTAAATAAATCTCGTTATAAATTGTCATATTGTCATCTGTTTTCTTTCTTTCTCCAAAAAGTTTTGACGTCAGGCCATACCAGTACCCAGCCAAAATTCTTGAGTCGTCTTAAGTAAAA